GTCCGCAGAAGGATCGCCGACACACGCAGACAGCTAGGTACCGCGGCTCGTTAGTGTAGTCTGTCATTTGCGGGGCGTAATGCATGACGAGACATGCACATTGCGATACTGTACTAAATATGTATGTAGTGTACACTAATCAGCCATGGGCTCAAACGCTCTAAAGGCGCGTAACGCAATGGGGGCACCTCCGTGTTGACAACACAATGCGAATGAGCTGCGTGACTTGCAACAGCTCATAAATTCGGAGCGTCACATCGCTCTTTCGACATGAGATCACCCAGCTTCCAGGTTGTCGTTGCTGCATCTCAATAGTCGCCCAACACGGCACCTCCCTGGCTGCTCGAACTTATCTCGTCTAGCTTTCACGGTAAAGCCGGCCGGCAAGGGAGAGGAAGTTTATTGTCATATTTCACTAGGTAAGCGCTCATGCCAGGGGTTTCTCTTGGCATCTTGATGGCCAGCCGGATCCGCAAAAGCATCATTTTAGAAGGAATGGAATGTAATGAAAGACGTACTATGTACATACATATATTAGTACGTACTCTTACTGGCAGGACAGGTACATAAGCGCGCACCCTGCATGGTGCGTATTCCGGAACTCGGGCTCGCGGGCTACGGCATTTTGGCCCATGCATATGTGTCATGTAGGTGCTAGGCCATCTATGATGTACGGGAACCTGTGAGTTCTGCAATCACCATGCGATGGTTCATGTTGCTCGTCGTGTGATGAGACCAGACCATTATCTGGTCCCGGTCGACATGTGTGGTGCACACCACGTAGGGTACCTTCGTCCCTGGCACCCTGCGGCCCTCTATGCGACCAGGGAACGCACCACATACTTACCTTGTACAGTTCTCTTGCGCGAGATTACGGCATTCTGTTTAGAGACCCATCAGCGCAAGGATCTCCCCTTCTTTGCTGCCAACCCGGCAGCCTGGATAGAAAGCCACACTCTAAACCTTGTCTGGTATAGTCCACTTCGGGCTGGGTGGCTTTTGGGTTGGAATTCCAAATCGAATGAATCGAATATTCCATGAGAGACAGAGTGTTTTGAAACCTCGTGGCAACGTGGCGCCCGATTTTCGTCAATAGCCGTTACGGAATACGACGAAACGACCAAAAGGACCACTACCTACCGAGGTAGTAGACAAGACAAATCTAGGTACGACATCTTAATATCTTAATTTCATGCCGTCACACGTCCGTGACGGTCGATCTCTCTTGCTGCTTAATCGATTCATACGTTGCATTTGCATTCTCTCACATCTCAAAACAAAATTTGCCATTGATCAATCACATCGTGGAAATACAAGATAGTTCCAAATGTTTCCGACGATGACAATGAACAAGGTACTAGGTTACAGTACTTGTCGAAGGAATTAATAAAAAGAAAAGCCTTACGAGAAGAACAGTAAAGAACAAAGATGGTAATCTACCATTATTTCGAATTATTTCGAATTAACCTTGTCCCTAGTCCTAATTTGCTTTTAATATGTCTTCCCCTGGATCTCTCGCAGTCGGAGAATATAATGACCAGTCCTATTCAATGCAGGAACAAGGAACGAAGCATTATGGAATGAGATAATTTCCATGTTCCGTCACCACTGACCAGGCTACGTATCTTGTCACATTGCGTTGGCTTCTGCAAAGAATACCTCGCTTACACGTCATTCTGCCCTATCTTCAACGATTTTTTGCTCGAGTCGAGACGTTTCTCAAGGTAGTAGCCGTTATTACCCAAAATCACGCGTACGGCGCGTACGGTAGTGCTCACTAGGGGTTTGCCCGCAGATCATGACAGACCCATTTTCGGCCTGACAGCCTGGAATAGCGTCATTGTTTTATTTAATCAAACCCAAGCTTGTTGGCTTTGATTACACATGGTAGTCATGGTAGTCATGGACTCATGGTAGTCATGGCAGTCCAGTACCAAATAAGTCAACAAACTTATTTTCGCGCCCCTGTTAATAGGTCTAATACCTAGTACTATGTAAGATTGCATTGGATATTGCGAATTCCCGTCGATGATGAATAATTCTGACCTGTTATACGATGCCATTTGCGATTAGCTGATCACGCTTCAGACATATATTGATAGAAGTATTAGACTAATGAAGACAGGTTACAAAAGAATCTACGGCGTCTATGTATGTTGAGATGTGAGAGATTCTCACCGGTACTACATGTACATACATGTACATAGGTGCCTAGCATTATGAGCTAGTTACCTAGTACTGTATATACACAGTGCAAGTATATTCTAGCAGTGGCTTCGCATCCCCGTGTCTTCGGGATGAGAAGCCAATGTTAGTAGGGGTTTTGGGGTTGACCGTTGTGTACTACTACAATATACTAGGTATGTAGGTACCTACCTTCCTAGTATTCAGTGCTATTATTCACTGACAGAAGTTCTACATAGGCGCTCATACAAGAATAATAAATAGCGCGGCATGCGCCTCGCTTGTTGAGAATTCAAAAGCAAAGACGTCCCGGGCCATCATCCTACCTAGTCATCCTTGCCATCCCAGGTCACCCATGATCCATCTACAATGTACATAGTTAGGTAGGTAGTATGTACCATAGTAAGTTACCCAGCAGTCTGGACTGGTCCCCCCCCCCTTCTGCCGAGTACTCCGTATCTGGATCTGGAGATTGAATTGAGGAGATGGGGGGCCGTGTCTCCCTTGGAGATTCTCAGATTCTGGAAGACCTTCCCAGCAACCTAGTATCATGTACGGCATGCAGAGCACTGCTGCAGCTAATAAGGATTGACTGCAGCTGCAAGCTCGGGGAACAGGGATTAAAACAACATGTACAGTATGTACAGCACGGCTCCCGCTATGAAATAGCAAATGGCTTCATGACCAACCTCGCTACATATACAACACCAAAAAACGACCTGTCACTTTTAACACTTGTTCCACGCAACTCTTCAAGGATTGGAGTCCCAGTTTCGTCAGGCTCACCGGTCGACAGTACTACTGTATAAACGCCATGAAACTCTAGATGATCGCTGTTCTTAGGTGATATTGGCATCAGCGGTGAGCAGCCAATCCTAGGTACTCACTACAGCCGGACTGCCTCTTACGGGGCTTTTAAAGTATGCAAGCAGTTATGACGGTATTGTGCTACGCAGCACCAGCATCAGTGACGATTCCGCATCTTCATGTCTTGTCGACACATGGCTGCCATGCCAAAATCCCCCCCGTGGCACCCCTACAAGTTGCACAAGCTGATCCGTACCGTTCGGAGTACATGAACCCATCCATATGGATAATATCGTCACTGTATCCATCGCCATCAGCAGCCAATGCAGAGACAGGTAGATTGCCAAAGACAATCGCTACCGAACATGTTATGTGTACCTACCAGAAAGGTACCGACCTAGGTAGGTTTTTAGGTACTAGGTAGTGTAGGTACCTATCTGGGTGCGCACGGGGATCTGCTATATTCAAACTGGAAGATGGAGCTAGTTATTGTTACGAACTCAGAGACATCATCGATTAATCACCGGGTCCCCCCCTTCAACAACTTGACAAGGATTTGGTGGCCTACCTACCAATGGCTACCATAGTACAGCCAACTGCCTATATCCCCTAGCTAGGTACCTAAATAGGTAGGTAGGTATGGCTGGTATGCACCTAGTAGCCAACCATCGCCACATGTACCGCGCAGGAGCCGAGTGGAGTATCCTCACGCGTCATTTCTTACTCTGAGCTTCCTAATCTACAGTGTTTCTGCTTGTCTCTGCTTTGCTTTTTCTTCTTCCAGATGTGGAACTCGATTCTGGAAGACTTACCCGCATCCTTCAGTGATCATGTGGTTCGTCAGTTTGGTTGGCTTACATGACCGCGGAACGGCACGATATCCACGAGTCAACTTTGCCAGTTCAGCTATCTTTTTTCTTGGCTCAGATCCATTGTGTCCGCCAACGAGGTCAACAAGGCCAAAGCTACCATGTAGTTATTGCCTAGGTACGCGGCAGAAAAAGACTTCAGCCGCCTGTAGGCTTCTTGATGGGGTACATACTATGGTACTAGGCATTGCATGCACATGAAGCTGTCGTGAGCGAGCCTAGTAGAGTGCAACAGTAGAGATCACCGCAAAGGGAAATCCGACCATTAACGATGCCTACACCGACACGTTTGAAAGCCTACATACCTAGGTACCTTTCCTACTTTTCCATCCGCATCCATGATCCGTTCCCCTCCCAACCTCCCAAGTCGCATTCTATGTCCGCAACCAAGTAGCATCGTCCACGCGACCTTGCTGTCGTGGATCCACGCGATTCGCAACAAGCGGTCACCAACCCAAAAAATGTCGCCCTTTTTACACAAATCTAGTTTCATTTTTATCTATCGCATCACCAAAGCCACACAGATAAAGCTTAAGCTAGCTCTACGCCGACTTTGTTTATTTGTTTACTTGTTTATTACCCACTGCAAAACCCCCTTATTACCGGATATGCTACCGGGTCGGCGACTACTGTCGCTATAAAGCAGGGGCATCAAAACATAAAAAGCCCCCCGGTTAAGACCAGGCGGTAAATAACTATCTAGGTTAGTTTTTTCTTTTCATGTCCGCCCTTCCATCGTACAAAGATATCAGCTTTCTATCCGATAGGTACCTACTGAATACCTACATACATGATAGTAGGTAGGTAATGATCTACGAGTAAATTATTATGTCTTAACCGACCCAGGTAGGTAGGTAGGTAGGTAAGTAGGTGCTTGGATAAGAGTGCTCTTTGCTTTTTCTTCTTCCTTTTTCAAGTATATCGTCGCATTCGACACGGGCCATACCTATCCGTCAAGCGACAGGAAGGGATGCGCCGAAAAGAAATAACCGCCATGAGACAACACGGCAACAGCAAGGTTTGACGGGAAAACACGTCAAATTCGTGCTTGCAGGTTCAGGCCAAACCACGATTAGACGAAAGACTAGGACTGCATACTTAGCAGGTAGTATATTTCCTCGGCTTCCAGGCCCGGGTTCCGTAAAATTCGGAATGGCGTCTAAAGCTTTTCTGACCTAATTAAAAAGAGAAAAAAAAAACCAAATTGGTAGCTATCCTTTTTCCTCTCCCCAATTCTTATCGTCCGCCTCATCCTCAAATAGGAACGAGGCGTAAAATAAATAAATCCACCCGGGCCATTTAGACTAGGTGGACTAGTCTTTTCGTACCTACATTGAAAAGGGGAGACTAAGAGTTTAGTTGAGGCGACCGATCCCGAACCCGAGTACCCGCTCTGTAGCCTCAACCGATTCGGCACGAGCAAAAGCTCATATCGAAAGAAACTAGTTCCTACAGAGTTTAGATCCCGAGGCTCAAAATCCCGCCTGGAAAGGAAGCAACGCGCAGCCTAGCCAACATCATACTTGGCACCTAACTTACCTACCTACCTACCTACCTACCTAGGAGCTCCGTACCTATTACCTAGCGACTGGAAACAATCCAATATTGGCGGATAACCCTATGTAATCCGGGCGAAACATCTTCACATCTATCCCTTTTATTAGGTAGTTAAGTACCTACTTACGAAAGAAAGACCGCAAAGATGTCCGACGTCGAGGCCAAGCCAGAGTTCCAGCAGTGGCACGTCACGTCGCCGTACCTGCACCTGCACTGCGGGCTAGGCGAGGGGCCGTACTACGAGGCGGCGACGCACAGCCTGCGGTTCGTGGACATCAAGAAGCGGCGGGTGCACGTCGTCAAGGACCTGAGCAACCCTGCGCCGGACCCCGCGTCCGCGTCCGACGTCGAGACCATCCAGCTCGACACGCCCGTCACCGTCACCGCCGACATCGACGGCGTCGACCCTAGCGAGCGCTTCCTCATCGGCGCCAAGTACGGCATCGCCGTCCTCGACCGCCGCGCCGGCACCTACCAGTACGTCGCCCGCTTCAGCGGAGCCGCCGCCGCCGACAACGAGCGTCTGCGCAGCAATGACGGCGCCGTCGATCCTCATGGCCGTTTTTGGCTCGGGACAATGACCGATATCGGTCTTGACTTGCAGCCCGAAGGTAAGGGTTCTTTTTTTTTTTTTTTTTTTTTTTCTTTTGGTGTCCGAGTTCAGTTCCACACTCGGGCCAGGATATTCTATCCTACATATGGTACCTATATCTCCCTACTCCATGATCATTATAGTTATCGTCGTCTATTATTGGTACCTAGATTTGCTATCCCTACCTCATACCTCGCTCTTCCCTATCCTATATTATAACTATCTATAATTCCTTCATTGCCCCCTCCTCCCCCTCCCCTTGTTTTTTTCTTTTCTGGTTTTTTTCCTTGTTTTTGCTTTCATTCATTCAATAGTTATTTCCCCATTCTTTAAAACCCTCCCCCTTATCGTCAGGGTTTACTTGTTGCCAGCCAGCCAGCCAGCCAGTCGCGAAAGGACAAGCAAGCAAGCACGCCAAAAAAAAATCGTTGGAAGTGGATATTTGGCCACATATCGCTGTCCTTATTTCGCATATGTGCTCTCTGGAATATAGGGTTTCTTTATTTTGTCTCCCCCCCCCTGGCCCTTGCTGCTTTTTCTTTCCTGGGATATCATTCTTATATAGGGCAGTATACCCTGCATGACAACGGATTATTCCTTGGAATAAGAGGAGGCAGGATGAGGGCTAAGAGAGAGAGAGAGAGAAAACCAAAGTTCTGTACTCGTCAAGGGGATCCTTTTTTCTTCTTCTTCTTCTTTTACTCCCTCGCTTTTTTTTCTGTCAGCTCTGTATGGCAGAAATCCACAAACCTCTTATCATGGAGACGGCGCCGGGCATGCCTCCGGCAGCGCACACATGGCTAGTGCCATGTCAATGACCAGGGCAATGGGGAGACGGATGATTGGTCCTAGCCCTTTCATACCTATAACTACATGCCGTGCGCTGGTTGTAAGCACGCTATGCCGCTGAATTAGGTACATGGGGGAGGGGGGGGTAGAGAAAGACATGGGAGACGTCTAAAAAAAATCCCATGGTCTTATGACTCCCTCCATGTAGGAATATTCAACTCAGCGCTACGCCGTAGCGTATAGTTAGTTATACGTCATCTTCCCAGTATCTATACTCCATACTCTACCTAGGGTACTTGCATCACTCACTATACCCCATCTCCTATCTCCTATACCCTAGTTACACCCTATACCACATATCTTAACCTTATGTACAATACCTTACCCCTTGTCTTATCTGGGCCAACCCGACCCCCCAAAAAAAAGACAAGAGGATCCACTTACCAAAAAGCCCCCCAGGCTCCCTCTTCCTCTTCGACGGCGCCCGCCCCGGCGTGTGCAAGCAGCACCCCGTCACGATCCCCAACTCGGTGAGCTGGTCGCCCGACCGCACAACCCTCTACTTCACCAACTCGACCGAGCGCCAGATCCTCGCCTTCCCCTACGACCCGCGCACCGGACACGTCGACACCACCACCACCTCCTCCTCCTCGTCGCCAACAGTCCTCTACCACCACCCCGGCCCCGGCGAGCCCGACGGCTGCCGCGTCGACGTCGACGGCTACCTCTGGCAGGCCGTCTACGGCGAGGGCCGCGTCCTCAAGATCTCCCCCCGCGGACAGGTCGTGGGCGAGATCAGGCTGCCGACGAGGAACGTCACGTGCACGCAGTTCGTGGGCACGGAGCTGCTCATCACGACGGCGGCGATGGAGGAGGGGGAGGGGACGGAGGAGGAGGTGCGGATGGGGGGCGCCTTGTTCAGGGTCGATGTTGGGGTTAAGGGGCTCGAGCCGTTTTTGTTCAAGTTGGGGGGCTCGTGAGGGAGGGAGGGTTGGACTGAGTTATGGTTTCATGGATGGTTTTGGTGGGCTGGTGGTGGCTTGTGGCTTGTGGTTGTGGTGGACGAGGGCCCGGGATGCTTGGAAATAGATACCTATCTACTTCGGTACCTAAGGTAGGCACTAGGTAGGTATAGGGGATGGGAAACACTTACCTGGGCACCTATTGGTAGATAGGTAGGCAAGAAAGAAGGATTAGGTAGGGTAGGGTAGGCAGGTAGGCAGGCAGGCAGGTATTTACGAGGTTTACATGAGCTAGAGCACTAGATTATATGCCTACTTAGGTACCTACCTACCTAACCTAAATGGTTATAGATGTCATGATACGGAGTGTCAAAAGCACAGTATTACTAGGTACTACTAGGTAAGTATGAATTTGTGCAATTTTCCTTTTTTTTCTTCTTTATTTTTTCTTTTTAGCCCCTTCATGAACGAATCAAGTCGCCTTGGGCTTCAGTGCATACATGCGCACGGGATATAGCTCATGGGGGAACCCATGCTGCAGCTCCGTGCGGATGATACGCAGTCCGGCCTCTTCGAAGATTCGTCTAAATGTTTCATCCAGTCTACGTGGATATAACGTGGCCGGTCTTGTCAGCTAAGGCCACCCATCATCGGGGGTGGAAAGATAAAAGAGAAGGAGTGTGTGTGTGAGAGAGAAAGAAAAAGAGAGAGGAGGCCATAAAAACTCACCGCGTAACACTGCTATCGATTTCATCGAATAAGTCTTCTTCGGACGTACTCAGGTTCTCCTTCACAACGATGACGCCCTTCGCCTGTCCGTCATCGTCGACACTCAGCGCGGCGCTGCATCGCCGTAGATACGCCTCAAGCTGGTGGTCAGTCAGATGGCCAAGACACCACTGGTTCCAGACCAGGTCGTACGTGGTTGTTGGATCGGGCCGCCATTCTTCAAGGCCGACATTGTAGATCTGGCCGACGCCCGGGCGACCCTCAAGCGCGGCGGTAAACTTGGCGATGGGCTCGACCACGTCGACTGTCTCTGCGATGTCTAGGAGTAGACCTTGGGTGATGCGTCCGATTCTGCGAACCCCTCCCGAAAAAGAAAAGGAGGAGGTTGTTTTAGTTTGAGCGCTTATGTTATGTGTTATGTGATTTACATGCATGCATGCATGTGAGATGTGAGCTGCATCTCCTGATCTTGTATTTTTCCTTCCATTATATCCTAGATATTTATTTCATGCATGCAAGAGTGGATAGATGGGGTAGGTGTGCATCGGAGTGAGTTAGGCACATTGTACTATATTCCAGAAAAATGCTATACATGAAACGACGAAGGAAAGAAAGATTGAAATAAATGAGGGGAAATCGGGGGGTTGGTTAGATGGGAACATGTACATATGTAGGTAGGAAATTCGTTTAGATGTAGGTGATGTAGGTGATGTAGGTGATGTAGGTAGGTACGCGAGGTAACACGACATAATAATCACAACGAATGACCCGAGGGGTGGAAGTAGAAGGAGAAGTAACAAAAAAAAAAAAGAAAAAAAAAAGTAAAACCACTTACCCAGCGCCGCCCTCCAAAGCCGCGTTGATGGTCTTGACACCCTGCTGTTTGCGGCCGAGCCCGATCTTAGACAGGAAGCCCTTAGAGCCCAGTAGGTCGATGCGCGAGACGCCCGGGTACCCGCCTAGCATGCCGTTGACGTCGGCATCAATCCCGGACCAGTACCGCCGCGAGTCATCGGGGCGGATCAGAGAGTCCGGCGCTATTGGAGATTCAGGTGCTTTTTCCTCTACAGCCTCAAATTCTTTCTGTGCCCCTCTTCTTCTTCTGGTGGTTGACATGGTGATGATGTCTGTAAACTAGTATGATATAAATCGATTGGCTGAGCGGTGATTTCAAGTTTCTTTCTCTTTCGATGCTCCTTGGCTTCCTTCCCAGGGAAGATGAATAATTACTATGAAAAGACAGCCCAGCCCTTAATCGGTGGCGGATAGGAGGTGAGGGGTGTTTTAGAGAAATGTTGGTGTTATTATTGACAGTGCATTTCGTGTCGCATGTACAATTGTCTTGTCTTATTTGTCCTTTACCGTGATCATTGATGGATGTGGGTGGTGCAAAGTTGAGAAAAGCTGGAGAGAGTTTGCTAGGTTGCAGGTTACCTACCTAGTTCGTATGACTTTCCGGCTATCACGTGCTTTGGATAAATGCCTTTTTCTTTTCCTTCCTTCCTTCCTTCGATCTTATAGTGGACACACCTTATGTATGTATCTAGCCTTAGATCTAGTGTAACCTCATGCGTGACTGCCTAATCTGCGTGTATTTATGTACAATACTTACTAACGTGAGGTAGCGTTACTTCGACGTTGTAGAATGCTTAATTAGACGTTCAATATTGGTTATTTAGACAACTTTGGTTAGTGGGAACCTTACTAAGACTGGATTTTATTATTTCAGCCCTGGACGATTATGTGGGTAGTTACAACTTGAAGTTTAGGTAGCCGCAGGTTATAGGAGTAGCATTACTTATACCTAGACAAGTACCTACGTATAAATGAAATGATTATTTACTTTCAAAGGGGAAAATATAAATATAAAATTTGGTGATTCGAATACGTATAATTGAGACATGGATTCAGATAGTTGCGGATATAAGTGCGAGGTGCCTAAAATAGTACCGATGTAGGCATGTAGGCATATGAAAGGGGGTAAAATAAATTCAAGGTCATGTCTAGTCCCTAACCCTTCCTTGAACAAGCCTTATCCAACATTGGCATTGGCATTGCCGTTAAAATTATCGTGATTTGGTCGAGATAGCCCGATGTGCCGGTGGTAGTAAAATCACCCACCATGACGTGCATCCTCGCTTTCATGGAATTCATCTCTCTTACCCCAACCACCCCAACCCTCACCATATCCTCCTCGTCCGCCCTCACCATAACCTCCTCGTCCACCCTCGCCATATCCCCCTCGGCCACCCTCGCCATATCCTCCCCGTTCACCTCCGTGCTGTTCATCTCTCTTGCCCCAGCCGCCCCGACCCTCACCGTATCCTCCCCGCTCCCCCTCTCCCCCACCCTCGTGGTTGCGGTGGTGCTCTTCCCTCTTGCCCCAGCCACCCCAGCCCTCACCATAGCCGTCATGACCGTCATAGCCGTCCCAGCCGCCGTAGCCTTCGTCGCCATGGTTGTTGTGGTGGTGGTCATGCCAGTGGTCGTCGTCCCGGGCAGCCATCTTCTTGCTGCCCTTCTCCCGGTGCTTCTCCTTCTCCTTGACGTCTTTCTTCTTCTCCTCGTCCTGGTGGTAGTGGTGGTCGTGGTAGTACCCTTCCTTGGCCTTGGAGTGCTCGTGCTTGCCCTCCTAAACAGGTTTGGTCAGCGATTATGCACATGTAAGTTGAATGAACGTGGGGAGGGTAAATTTTGTAGGAGAAGATAGTATTTACCTCAATGGGAGAACGCTCTCCTACTGGTGCCACGGCATCGGTGGCAGCGGTCGGGGTAGCGAGGGCATTGGCGTTGAAGAGCAGGACGGCTGCTAAGAAGGATTTGGTGATCTGCATAGTGCAGGTGTAGATGAAGTATAATAAGTGATTATAGTAAAGGAAGTGTGTTATATCTTTGAATATCTTCAATTCATTGGGAAACTGAGTATAATCTTTATGCTGCACATAATAATATCTCAAATCAGAGGGGACTGGGCAGTCCTCTTATATTCATCGCAGGACAGGGACTGGACAAGGCGTTGTGTAGCATTTCCCCCTTTCTTCATCAACAAGACTGAGACAATAATTTAAGTTTGCTGTTGACGACAACGATATCTCGTTGTCATGCTGTTATGTATGTTTACGCTGCTACGACTTGTTGTCTAAGAACCCAGAATCTGTTATAGCAGCATACCTTACCAAGCCAGCCTTCCAGAGCGGAAGAACGACAGCACTATTCGCATAGGATGACGCCACTCTAACCCAAGTAAAGTTTTTCTTTCCAAGAATGTAGCCATGTGAATAACAAATAGTTATATCTCTCAATGGTATGCAGGGAATGGGATGTGTGGGCGCGAGTGGATATCAGAAGCTGAAGGGCGTGTTGTAGAAACATCGCATTTCTAAGGGATGCCAAGTTTAGACGATGACCCAGTTCTAGTTAATGTTCATTACAGTACGAAGTAGTTACCCATTCCAGCAGCAAGGGTGAATTAGCCAAGATTACCAAGTCCAGGGCAGTGGTGTTAACTCTAAAGTCTAAGTTTGACATGTTAAATGGTAACAGTAAAACAGTAAAACAATTGTGGGCAAGCTTCCGACACTTCCGTCTAGCTTCACGATTGTCGGGTCAAGTACGTGAAGTCATAATCTGCCTATTTTTATGACTGTAAAATTTACAACTTACTCTAGAGTGACATGACACCGGGTTGTGATTGAACCTTGAACTTACCCAGATTGATGTTTTCTTACCAAGTGACGCTTTTATTACTGACAAGCCCGGACCGTGACGTGAATATGAGAGCCGCTAGATGCAATATGAGAACGACCGAGAACATACTAGGTACTACATATGTATCTATATGGACACAAAGGTTAATTTGCTTGGTAATACAGCTCTGGAGGTGATATCTAACCATCATAACTCCCCAAAAGATCTTAGGTAGAATAAGCCAACCCCTTTAGTCCAAAACCTTGACTGTTGTCGACTTTTATGTAGTAATCCTCAGTATCATATTGAATCTTGATTTGAAATTGCTCGAGTAAAGAAAGAAGCACGTATTGATTTGGTGTTTGTAATTAATAGGGATCAAAATTGAATTGAGTCTATATATCATTAATCTTCCTGAGAATGGAATACGCCACGAGAGGGTATCAGTCCTGGTCTAGAAATGTAGAAGTGTATGGAGGCGTCCAAAGCTCGGCTGAAAAAAATGTATAGAAAGGCAACAAAAACATCCACACGGTAAAAATTCTTTTTTTAATACACCGATATTACTGTCAAACCCCAACCATGGCCAATTTCTTTGCCAATTTATTTTCCAGTATATAAGCCCATGCATAAGTAGGCTATTAAGTCTTCGGAGGAATTGCCGCTGTTTTGTGTGCTTTGGAAGCTAGACGTCATCGCTGATGCAGGCCGGCCTATAGTACGTAACCATTGGCACTGACACAAGTCCATTCGCGGACACCCATGCCTTCCTCAAGCTCTACACACCACCACAGTGCTTCTTTGGCTTTGTCTGGCTGTCCGCTCTCTTCATGTACTTTAGCCATGGCAAACCATGCATCTGAATAGTTCCATCCGGTGCCTAATTTAGTGAGCCCGGATAGTAATCCATAAGCTCTATCTCGAGCGGCAAGTCGATCAATTAAGGGTAAAGAAGTTGCTTTGTAAGGTGCTGGTAGCTCTTCTGCCGACGGACTATCCGAGTCATAAGCATCCGAAGATGCCTTGTCCAATGGCGGTGAGCCTGAGCCATCCGTTGCGACGCCCCCAAGCCCCAAAGGTGTTGATGGTAGGGTCGGGATATTTCCACTTTGGCTTGTATTGGTGCCTGGCTTTCGAGAACTAGGACTTGCTTGGCCAAGGTTGGTTGATTGGCCGTCCGGCAAGGTGATGCCTGGGATTGCAGGGGGTGGAAGAAGCGCTTCGTTGTAGATATCGAGGAGGATATTGGACAGTCCAACAATAGCTGGAGGGTGGTCGGGGTAGTGCATTAGAGCTTCTTCGAAGTGGTCTCTCGCTATAAAGGGCGTCTCTTCTTCAATTGCCAGTTGACCCATCTATTTCAAGTTAGCATTTATTTTTATATCCTAGGACGGAGTTTCAACATCATACCTCGCTCAACACATCACCCCAAAGTTCCTCGACAGACTTTCTCCCGCCCCAACCTGGATCGCGCAAGCCTACAGAACCGCTTCCGTCTTTAGCGACATCAGCTTCTAGAGCGTCTACCAACTTCTTCGCTTCATCAACTGCACCCTTAGCATCACCATACATTTCAGCACGGCGGTAGAATGCAGCAATCATTAGCCACACTTTGATGAGTATGGTCTGCCTCTGCTGCTTAACTTGCTCCTTCGAAAAGTGAATAGTCGGTAGTGGACTTGGGGTTGAAAGAGATTCCAGGATTAGACTGTCGGAACCACCTGCGGACCCCTTGGTCGAGGAAGCAGACGAGTCAAACCGTAGCAGTCCACGGCCTTTATTAGAGAATGACTGCTGTCGAGATATGTCGCTCTTGCTGCCCCATGCAAAGGCATCTACTTGCTCTTGGCCTGCCGCATTGGGTACTGGCGTATAGTAATCTTCACCGTCTACAACACTTGGAGGATGAGGCACGGGCCCGCTGCTAGAGCCTCGCCGGGGCTGAGCGCTTGGTTCTCGCTTCTTCAAGCTATTTCGTCTCGTAGAATCGCTGCGCCCCCGAACGCTTGATGACCTCCTAGACCGTCGAGACTCACTAGCCTCGCCGTTTTCCTTCGTAACTTGTATTGAGGGAGCAGCGGTAGTGGGACTGATAGTAGTCTGGGTGGTTTGAGGCCTTTCGGTCTGGGTAGTAGATCTACCGATTTCCGTAACACTACCTCGTCTAGGGTCTTGAGACGGCTTCTCTGATCTGCTGCCAAAAATGCTACCACGAAGAGTCCTGACGGTGCCAGCTGAACTTTTTGGTGGAACTCGCATCGTTGAGTTTTGGGCTGTTGGCGGTGGTCTTGGGGGAGAATCGCTAAACAGCCTCATGTACAAAACCAGTAACTCGTGACTTGCGTTCACTGCAACTTCTGGTCCTTCCAACAATTCTAGTAAAGCAAGCTGGGTCATTTTTACTTCGATCATCCCCTCCTTTTCGAGATCATCCATTTCGTCTACAAGCCCCCTCGATTGATCATTCTCGCTCCGAGCTTCTGCCTCGTTAAGGTGTTCGCTTCGGAATGTGCCTTGTAGGTTTTGTGACCCAAACAGTATAGTTGGGTCGTCAAATTGCTCAAATGCCCCTTCACAAGCTCTAGCAGCCATGATGAAGTCTTGTCTGGCGCTTAGAAGAATTGAAAGCAAGTGCCACACGGGTATCAGCGAGCGCTCCCGCCAGTATGACCGAGACTCGAAAGCATGGTCTCCAGCCTTCTTATTGGACATAAGGGCAGCTTTGACGATGTCAATGGCCGCGGTCAGTTCCCGTTGCTCCGCCAGTAGTAGACCAAGGGTGAACAAGGTTCTGATGTCTGTGGGATTTCCGTTTTCTGGTGACAAAGATTTTTGGAAGCTCCGAATGGCCTTACTCTGAGTTTCGGTCCTCACAGACGCATCATGGGTTGCTCGGGACCACTGCGACTGTGAAATGCCTATGGCTTGCCATGCCAAGGCATACATCCGAGATGAGATCCTTGGATGTAATATGACACCATTGCCATCCTCCTCAATCAGTGTCGTAATATTCTCTTGCGCATTGGGAACCGGAGAGGGCAATTTCTGCAGCATTCCTTCTAATTCAATTCCTAGACCATGTGCCTTTTCCGCCGCATCCCGGAAGCCATATTTGCAGAGTGCCATAATTGCTTGTGAAATTGTCTCTAAAACGGTTGAATCGTCATCAAGACTTGGCTCCGGATGGCCAGTCTTATCAACCCGGGCTTTCCCTTTTTTGACAATCTCCAAGTAGGAATCGAACGCGCGGAAAGCTAGGTCAAATTCAGCAATTGAGAGGTGAACTGTGAATAGATGTCGTAGAATGGCGGTAGAATGAAACGTTTTAGTTGCGGCCCGGTATAGAATGTCTAGTACGCCACGGCTTAGGCCCTCTTTGCCACCGGGCCCGAGATCTTGCTCGTACCAATCACGACCGCCGAGTACACTCCAGTTCTTCATTACAAGCGTGACGAAGTCTTCCACTTCTTGTCTTTGCTCTTCGGCTCGCGGGAAGGAGGTTTCGCTTAGAAGTAATCCTTCGTAAGCTGTCTCAACCTTCTTCAACTCCACCCGTAGCTGGCTTCTAGCCGATGATTCGTTGGTAACATCGACAGACCCAGTTGGGAACGGCAAATCCAACTGCAAAATCCCAGAAACAGCAGCGTAGTATTCATCCCACACCCTCCTTCTCGGCACAGCTCCACGAAAGCCATACCCACCCGCAAGAGGGGTGCCTTGAGCCTTGGCAACTTCCCAGTATTTCGCCCAGGAACGAAAGGGAGTCAATGAGTCTGCGTCCTCGAGGGTCTTCTCACCCTTTTCCAGAGCTTGGGATTGTAGCATGCAGTATTCGGTCAGAAAAAGTTCAGCCCAAAATCGCAGCTGCTTCCGACTCTTTTGATTCAACCATGCATGAGACAGGGAGGCCAACGCCGATTGGAATATAGCAAGCGCTTCAATCCTCCCACCACTCCGTGCAAGGCAGTTCGCCTTCAGGTAAGTAGCTTTCAGGGAGCATACTTTGGTCCATTCAGCAGTATTGTCCAGCTGGTCGAGTTGAGTAGCTTCGTTATCCAAATTTTGTGATAATCGTTCAGATGCACGATCGTAGTCGCCAACGGTCCAGTGAAGCCATCCTACGCAGACTTGAGCTTGATATTTATCTTCGTTGTAGGTGGTCTCGGCATCGATGGCACTAAGTAATCTCGGGACTAATTGTGCCACATCTAGATCCTGAGCAGAAACGGCGGTTGCAGGTCTCGACTCGGACTTCTGCTTCTGGGAGGCTTTTACGATAGCATATTCGATCTCTGCGGTTGTCGTGAGGCCTAGGAATAGGTATTGGATTAGAAAATGTTTCGGTAAAAGAAGGGGAACACATTGGAATCGTACATATCCTATCAGTGGCATGTTTACGAATCTTTCGCACGAGTTCTGGCACATCATCCCATCTCCCTTCACATCTAGCGTCCTCCAACCGACTTAGGTATGGCACTACCTTGGCCGTTTTCTATAATATGTTGAGTGAGCAAATCGTTAAGGAAAAGGGAGAGGAGAGCAGCTAGGCAAGAAGGGAGGAGAGGGGAGGGGAGGAGATAGAACGCACACTCATATTGACTGACGATCGAGGTCTGGGCAAACGCGCTGATTGTCAATGATGAAGTCTCTCGAATATCATCTCGACCACATAATACAACTATGATCTAGAAGTGTTATCATATAAGCCGAGTTTGTCGGAACTATGCCCGGGGGTCAGATTGTTATTAGAAATAAGTTACCCCCGAGTGTCAACGCGGCCGTGCAGTTCTCGAAATTAAATGTTGCCAAGGAAAGTAGGGGAAAGTGCCTATGTCATGGCTTGCTAAAAGGGGATATATGCATTTATATAGTATAATATGTCGTGTAACACGTTCCTGATCCACAATCCTACATGGACCGGGTCAGCTTCTATAGACCCGCTAAAAAGTTTAGTTATCGATTAAAAAAAAAAAGGTCGACGATTGCAATTGCGACCAGAACAAGATTGAAGATTGTGACAACTTCAACATTCTTTATTTCTCATCTTTTTATTTTTTTTTAAAGTTTGAGACTTTTGGTTTTACAATTTAACTCTATTTCAGACCCTACATCCCGCATCCTGCATAACAGCATCAATGATGTGTGCTTATATGTAATTGGATATAACCCTGGAGATTCAATTCTGATCAAAAACATGATCATACTCATATGAATATATGAATATATGAATCTATATAAAGCCAACTGTTCATTAGCCAGTTCGGTTTCAAGAGAAGATTTATTTATCAATAATCAAATATACCAAATATACCTCAGATCATGGCATTCTCTGCACTCCCGCCTGAGCTGCGCAGCCTCTGTCGGAGGTTGACATCGACCAAAGCAGAGCGGCTTCCAGCCCTACTACCCTCTCTCCTCAAGGATATATTACGTTGTCAAGAGCCGCTATCGAAACCTCAAGAAGCAAAATCTTCTGAAGGTTCTACCGAATCTGCGGTGCTCGTACATAAGCTTAAGACTCAAATATCCACGCTCTTAAACAGCAGAACTGCCCAAGGTCGTTTTGTTGGAGTGGCTCTTGTCAAGGCTGTCATGGAAACTGGCGGCTGGGAGTGTCTTCGAACATCCGAGTCATGGGTTCGAGGGCTGTTGTCTGTTCTCCAAGTAAGTTTCTATATGCCACGTGAGATTAATCACAACCACTAACAGATAATAGAGGAAGGACCCTGCAGTTAACAAGGGTCTATGTGTTGTGACTGTAGTCAAGATATATTCTTTGATGCATGCGTACCCAACCCTGGTACGAGAGATTGTGACACCCACTCTCCCAACATTTGCGACGGCATGTCTACAAATATTGAAGCCTCCTGTATCTAGCAAGGCTGCTAAGGCGCCTTACAACCTCGTCGAGACTATATTTGAGGCCCTTTCAACTCTACTTCCATTATACCCGACTACTTTGCGTCAGTTTGCCGGCAAGATCAGAGCTGAGACTCGATTATATGTTACCCCTACTATCTCAGACGGCGTTATAATCCCAGCATCTTTACAAGCAAGCAGTCGACACATCGCCCTGAGGCTACACATGACGGCGGCAAAGGGTGGAGATTCGACTGAATGGGCAAAGCATTTAGATGGACTTATCAAGGCTTTTCATTTTACAGCTGGTCTGGTCTTGCGCGGCGTGATAGAGAACTGGGAGCCAATATCGGGCCACGTATCAGACTATACACCACAGCAGATGGATTTCAATAAAGATCCCCAAGGTGATGGTACTGGTCCAGATCAGTTCCCCTCATGGACTGGCATCTACGCAGGCAGTCAAAGAATGATCGGCCAACTGGATTTTATTGGCGAATACCTCCGGTGCCGTACAAAAACTGCCGTTACTATTCCGGTTGGTGCTATTGTCGACATTGTTACGAGGATGTCCTCGATTTTCCCACCGACTCCCGGGAGAGAAAAGTCGGGGTTGGTCCAAATGAATCCAGCTGTTGGCAGAGAGGAAAAGGATGAGTTGTGGACAGTTTTTCCGGATATCCAACTCGCCACAATGAAACTACTTCTCGTTGTAATACAACGACTAGGGAGAAATTTTGCACCAGTAGCCCCGGAATCGCTTGAGCAGCTACTACGAATGTTCGAATCAAGCTATCGTCTACCTGAGATTCGGATGATAGTATTCCATCTAACCAGAGAGATACTTGAAATTTGTGGGCCGACGATGCCAAAGCTCACAGTCGAGGGTCTAAGTTTGATTATCAAAACATGTTGTAGGGATCTCTTAGGCTCCGCAGGTCACCTCAAACGTCCCAAACTGTCAACCTCTACTCCTCAGGGCGGAGCAAAACCCAAGTCAGTCACTCAGAATGTAGACGCTTTTCTCAGCAACAAAACAGAAAATGAATCATTGGTCGTGTCGCTAAACGCGGATCATGTTTCGGCCGCTGCGAAACTCTTGACTACTCTATTCAGCCATGTACCTCAGCAACATCTTCCATCCTCTCTTCGAGCTCAAATGCTTAGAACAGCTATCCTAGCCCAGATCAAGGAGGCCCAGGTGGCAAGCGTACTACATCCGTCACGAGACAGAAGTGGTAGAACACCACAAGTGATACTACCCTATCTTACTCAACAATTTCCTCGTGATGAGTGTGTCGAAATTCTACGCTTCAATTTCCGACCGATAGCGACGGGATTTGGGAATAATATCATGGATCTTGACGACACGCTACACGAAGACGAGCTGGAAGAGGAGTCTTCCGCCAATGGTTTCACATTTGACAAACTATCCGAACCCTCTTTTACAAACCCTCGAGATATACTAGCAGCAACAACGGCCAAGTCCACCGAAGTACAGCGAGCCTCTTCTCCTGTACCAGATACCGAGCCCGTAGCAAAAGCCCCGAATCCGTTCCTCCCTATGTCGTCTTCAAAAGCAACTATCTCGTCTGAGGTTCGTACTTCAGTCGTGCAGCCATCGCTCTCGACCAACTCGCTTAAGCGGAAGAGCGAGGAGGCGGATATTGCTGTTGCAAAACGGGTCGAGATCGACACGTCGACAATCATCAACGCTCCAGCACCAACGACTATCGCCCCGCCGATCCAAGCTCCCACGACGCTCGGTGTGGGGGGCGACCAGGAGAGCGACGGGGAAAGCGATAACGAGAGTGCTCATCTTAATATGGAACTCGACACTGACGAGGAGGAGGAGGATAATGGCGACGGGGGAGAGGAAGTCTGAAAGGCTAACGAATGGGCTCTCGAGCCGATTTGTTTTGTGCATGGCGTCACATTCGGTAACTTGGCGGAGGTACCGCCGTGCGTTCCGGGTAAAGTGATCCCACGCTTGCATCTTTCCATAATATATGTACCTACCTCCAACCAAGAAAGATATATCGATATTGTGCTGCAGTGCTATACGTACCTAGGTAAACCACCTACCTGCTCAGGTAGATAGATAAATAGATATTAATCGGCATTATCTCGCAGAATGCAAGGCACCGCCGTCTCCCGTCTCGTTTCACAACGCAGACCGCGTAATTCAATCTTCTTATGTTGTTAGATTGCAGTTGATGAGGACGTCGTGGGGGAGGTTGAGGGTGGGTTGGCCACGCGAGCTGGCTCCTTTTAAGGGTTCATCGTGATTTTGACTTTGGGTATACTAGGTACCTACCTACTGTAGTACTATTTCATCAATGATACATATAAGAGACACGCCACTATGTTATGTAGACGGCTACGTAGGCACTCTACAGGCCTAGAAGCTACTATTTATATTACTTCCATCCCGAGAGATAGGGTAAATATAAATATAGATGAACGCGATCACATATACGAAAGCGGACAGGTCAATAACGGTCATATAAGTTTTTTGATATTCTTTGATCTTGAACTCGGAAATAAATATGCCTAGGGACACAAGTGATTATCTCAATTTTCAGTGCCTACCTACATAGCAAGTAGGTACCTGACCTTAGGTAGGTATGTAGGTAATCCCGTATCACCAGACGGTCCAGCATATGTATCCGATACATTCAATGTTAGTACATAATATAGATACCTACCTAGGTAGGTAGGTATCTATGTATTGAAGGTCATCATGATGTGTGTATCGTTTCGGTACCTTTCCTATGAAACCGCAAGATCCTATAATACAAACAAGAGCCAAGCGTCAATGAATTTCGTCGACGAATACTTGGAATAAATACCCTGATAGATAGATGTGCGTATACGTAACCGTATTGAGGCGTGTGTGTGTGTTCTTGTTTGTTGTCCAAGTTACGAGCCAAGGAAACAAGCCCAACACATACATACACACCTCCTTCGATAAAACCAAAATGCAATGCAGGCATCCACGTTCCGAATATGCAAGGTTAGCCGTTCCTGTGGGTTGTAGTCATATACGTTTTTCTGTTCCTCCCTCCCTCTCTCCCTCTTTCTCTCTTACGTGCCCTTATGCCTAAACCGCAAAAGTTACATACCAACGCCGTGTGTCCTTAGATGCGCCATGCAGCTCCCCGCGCTCCCCGGTGAGTATGAGTAGCTCCTATGGAGCCACGAAGCCAAGAATATATCGTCTTTCCATCTGATTTGGTATCGGAAAGGGGATTAATGGTGTCCTAATCCCTGAGCCATGCTCTTCGCTTCTCTTCCTTCCTCGCCCGGCGCTTTTCTTTGAATTGTTTCAGCTCGGCTTTGGTAGGCTTCTTGCCTGATCGTTCTGCTTTCAGGCTTCGGCCGTCATGGGAATTGGCAGCGGCATCGACGTCAAAGAAGGCGTTCATCTGTCTCTTCGACTTAGCTTCATCGTTGTGTCGTTCCATACTCTGATCGGCGCCTTGCCACTTCCCGGTAAAGCGATTGAACGATCCTATGGCTGCATAGGCGGCCGACGAGTCCACCGCTTGGTCGCGTGCGACAACCCTCTCCTCGGGTTTCTGGGCATACCAGGCGGTCGGGTCATAGTCACCGTGGATCGCTGGGTTATAACCTCCAGCTGGTGGTTCCTCGTCCTTGGGAGGTTCCGCAACGCTAGTGGGTGCAGCGGGCGGCGCTTGCGATGCAGACGTGCTAGCGGTATCTTTGTTGGCTAGTCGAGGGTTTTCCCAGGTGGCTTCGTTCGTGAATCGATTGAAGAAAAAATAAGCTTGATTTGTCGCATCCCAATGGAAATCCCAGCCATCATCTTCTGTCGCAGGAGGCGGTTCATTTGGCAATGGAGGAGCGCTCGAGTCAGCTGCAGCGAATTCAGATCGCACAGGTGAAGCTTCACCGGACTCTAACGATTGAGAGGATTGAGCGGATGGAGACGAGGGTGGCGACGACTTGGCTGGGTAATCTGATGTAGGCTTATTTTCATCGGTAGGAGACTTGTCTGTTACAGGATCGTCGTAATTTTCAAGCTGGGACTTCGGTTGAGACATTGACAGGGATTGGTTCGTGATGGTGTTGTTATCCTTGGGCTGATCAGCAGCCGGTTCGGACGGGCCAGGTGAAGTGGGCGGTGCTGACATTATTTTGCGTATTGGGTATTGCGTTTTGCGACTTGCGATTTGCGACCAAAAGTATTTTGTTATTCTTTCTATGAAGATGTTAATAAGAGTGGTTACGACTTAGTCGGAGAATGATTGTCGAAAAGATACATGCTGACTGAATGTCACGGCAATTCCGGCTTTTTATTATAAAGGGGTGCCGTAAGTCAATTGATTCTGAGACGAGGCCAAGTACGAAAATGGTTATAGTTGATGCATCGTAAAGCTCCTGTATGGATAGAATGGAACTTTGGATGCGAGTTTCCTACTACGGTCTACGTTTATTTTCTTATCGGTTATCGGCACGGAGGATTATCGGCTTATTTCTAGTTATCTAGATTCTAGAACCTTGAGTAGAATCTTATGTACATACATAACTAGGTTAGAACCTTATGTAATAAAACGAATGGGTTTACGGAGTTAGGTTAATCCTTTTAATGACTTCAAGTTCTCAATTAAATAACCCTGCTGTGTGGCTGCCCGCGTGATCAACAACGGCCCATCTCAGATCCATCCGACAGACCCGATGTCCGTGCGAGGAACAGTTCGCTTATGTAACCACATGGTGCTTCAACGTTCTAATTTAATTTTCAACAAGTTTCAATGTCCAACTTGTACCTGAGTACTACTAGTAGTAGCTTGAGCCTTGAGGACATCAGTGAGGTACAGCACTGGGATACAACGTCGACTAACTTGAGGCCGGTAAAGTCAATTTGAACTTCTTTCACTTCACTCTTCGTCCCAACACCGAAAACCTGACACAAATCGTTCATCTTAGCACAGCCAATTATTTATGCGCTTTGTACTTTCAATAATTCAATACAGATCAACACGCAACCAATGATTCAATTCTTTCTTCAACAACATAGGTACCTACCTAGTACCTATGCAAACCAATAGGAGATTATGTACCTACACACAGAGGGATGCGTGACTTTCCTTTTCTTTCCAATATTTGCTCAGCGCCGGACTTAAGCGAGAAAATAAAAAAGCCACCGGAATGGAGGGCGTCAAATTATATCAGCCGCTCTCTTTCTAACTAGTGATCTTATGCCGGAATATTACCAGTTAAAGAGCGACAAACAAAGGTGGCCTCTTGTCAACTTTAAGGAAGTTCGGTTAATTACGCCAGTATGCTGTACCACACGTACTATGCACATACAGCCCTGATGTCGCTGCAAATGGCTGCCTCTTGCTCCACTTGGATGCTCTAGGCCCTCCTTGACCCTCACAGGAGCCTCTTACTAAAGCAAGAGGCTTTGTGTTCGTTGGAGACGAGATGTCAAGAGTTTCCGGTCAAATGCTACACCAGATGCATTGCAGCGGCCATAGCCCCCAAGAATATCTTGGGTATCCTAGGTATCCTACTTACCTAGTAGCACATTCTTAGGTATCCATGGATGACATTGGATGTAGGTCACTAGCTCATCGCAACATTGAATGTTGCTTGCTAGGTACCTTACTACATATACTAGGTAGGTACCTATGTAAACACCTTACGATGCCACCCAAACACCAGGGAAATTCGCCTCGTTACACCGGACCCACGATGAAAGCAAAGCTCAGCTCTTCCCCGCTGATCTTTCGATCTTTGGGTTTCTTGTCATCTCTTATTTCCATCCCTTTACAATAGTCAAAGTTGACCTATTTTATACCTTCAGTGTTGATATGAGCACAGTTTCACATCTACCGACTTGTCGTCTGGGCGCCGTGAAGATCATTGGCCCTATGGAAAATTTCATGCTAGTGTCTTCTTATTTTTATTTTATTTCTGTTTATGGTCTGATGGTTGAGCGTTGATGTTCAGAGATAACCACGTCTTCTCAACGTCGCATTTACAGCATTTATCCAACGGATATTCTCTAGGCATGCATAGCCTAGAGCATATCTAGGCGTAGAAGCTTCGGGCTTTCGAACGTGCCTTGATAACGCATACTGCTGATCCAACTTTCTTCCCCCATCTGGCATTGGTACGTGGGAATCCATTCCCACGCTATCTATCCATCATAGCACCGTATTCACGGATTCGTCTTCCGCACGAACACAAGACACGTAAACAGCCTTTCTTTCAGTTCTAGATGGAACATACAGGAGGCTTGGATGATCTCATCTATATGTCTGTGTCTCGGCGTGTGCAATAAATAATTCTATTTTGGGTGATGGTTGATTCGATACATATTTTGTCTTATTCTCCCATCTCCTTCAGCCCGAATTCCCTCTCATTTGTATAGTCTTCATTAGTGGGTCGGCTATCCGATGTTTTCTTCAAGTACATAATTTTTCAGCTATATTTGATCTTGTACACGAGACTTTTCTTTCATACATACATAAGGCTAGCTCCTTCGAACTGTGCGCATATTTTATGTGGTTTTGGGTACCTTATACACGTAAAAGGTAGCTGGTTAAGCTGAGGTCGGAATACACGGACATATACATATCCTCATAAACGTTGTGATGGGGTCCCCAAGGCTCTTCCACCCGTTCATAGTCGCTATCAGCTTGGTCCCGTTAGTTGTTACGGCTTTCCCAGAAGTTAGTGGCGATACATGCGATTGCTATCTCACCAATGGAAGTAGCAGCAACTGGTTTACGACACATAAATTCTTCGACTTTCGGGATAAATCAGGAGATGCTCGAGTACCAGCTCTCATTGACGACCCTACAGAGAGTAGTGAAGCCAGCGCCACTAACGATTACCTCCTTTCCGACGACTGGACTGGCTATTGGACTTTACAGAGTTGGAATAATTCTGCCTCGTTAGGGACCGACGTGGGCGATGCATCAATTCTCATGGTTCATTCTCCCAACAATGTCTATATAGAGAACAACGCAGACGAGAATGCCGATTCAAGTACATATTTAACAATGAGGACGGCACGCTTGGATGATTATCAATCGGCGTCCGAGTTCGAGTCAAACATACAAAACTACCATTTCCTGTCGGTGAGAATGTATGCGAGGACAACTGGCGCACCAGGCGCAGTAACGGCAATGTTCACATACAAGCAACTCGACAACTCCGATGACCTTACCGCAGTTCAAGAATCCGATCTAGAAATTAGAACACTCGACCCGCCCAATAGCGTTCAATACACAAACCAGCCATCGTATACTTCTCAGGGGCTCAACCTCGCAGATGCCACACGAAATGTAACGATACCGAAGGAGAGAGACTGGACGAACTGGGCAGTGTATCGCATGGATTGGAGTCCATCAGCCACAACGTGGTATATTGATGGCGATGAAGTCGCCTCGATTTCCTTCCAGACGCCACGTGATCCGAGTATGCTCATCTTCAACTCATGGTCAGAGTAAGTATCTGATTCCAAGCGCTGTCCTTTGTTTATGTCTGGGTCTGTCTAGAGAGCTAGCTGGACCAAACTATGCCCCCAAGGCTCACATGTGATCGCACATGCACAAAATATATTAGGAGTCAGCTAACCTCGTGTAGTGGCGGTTCCTGGACGGGTAATATGAGTGTAGGAAGCGAGGCACGTCTTCAAGTCCAGTGGATCGAACTTGTCTATAACACAACTGGCTCGGATTCTAATGGGAAAAAGACGAGGAGGGAGGAAACCGAAATCTTCAGCCAGATCGAAAAGAGAGATGGCCAGTTCTGTGAGAATGTTTGCAGTATCGACGAAACGTCAACAGTGGGAACTACGGTACTTATACAGGGCAGCAGCGCTTCGGGGCTGTTGAAACAGTTCGGGGGGCTCGAACCTATATATTTCGCCGTATCTGTACTATCTATGATTTTGGCTTTTTGGTAGATGGCGGTTAGACCCACGGCGTTGGAATTGTTTTCAAAATCAGGACTGTTCTCTACGATGCAGGAAAGCATCTAGCCTACCTAGGTAGATATCCGCCTTCGGAATGGTGGGAATGTCACAAAGGGAGATATTTCTCAGTGTTTCTTACTGAAGTGCCTAGTGCTTAGATCGAGGAATTTTCGAAATCTTAATAGTCGGGATCAGCTGCCTGCTGGAACCATCATCGTCGTGTCTAGCACGCTTCTGATGGTACGCCACCACGTGGTCATAAATATCTGCATTGCTATTGCACACAAGTCAAGCTTCTTGAACTCGGCCTACACGGTGAGATAACAGCGCCAAGGTCGAGAGGGTACATCATATCGTTACTTGTTTAAGCTGTAGGTACCTGCCTACCTACCTACCTACCTACCTAGTGCGGCGATGTAGGTAATCTAGCCTCTTTCCACGAAGATATATTCCCAAATTGGCGTGTTGGTATGATAGTAACATAGGTACCTAGGGGCTGTGATCAGGTGCGGCATACCTCAGGCACCTCTGTATGAGGCCTCCTAATTTCTGGCGGTTCGCTACAGTATACCTATGATTGGTCGCCTACTCGTCCGGGGGCGGGCGGGTTCGGAAGCAGGCGTGGTGTATATGTTGTGTACCGTCGTGCGCTTTATTGCCCAATCGGAATGAATTCTCCGAAGATGGACATTGGTGATGCTTTTGACTGGGCAGGTACGCAGGGAGGGAGGGAGGGAGGGAGGTGTATAGTAAGCATATAACTACCTAGCTCTTAGCCTGGCATTGGATTCGGGCATGGCATAGGATAGGTAGATATATGATCTAATGGCACGTTCCTTGAGGATATGTGTGGCCTGGGTGCACTTGATCGCCTCGTCTAGGCCATGTTGGATGTCGTAGGTACATGCGTTTGTAGGCGACGCTTGGGAGGAGCTGTTGCGTGGGTTTTCTTCATATTGATAGTATAGATAGAGCAGGTACCTGCCGAAGTATTCAGTAGGTATATCGCCGATATAGCTATTGGTAGGTATTCTGTTTCGGTGTGAGTCTTGGTGCTCTGATGAGGTTGGCCTGTCTCTTGGCTACTAGGCAGGTGGTATTGAGTCCTTCTGAGCTCTGCGCTTTCTCATCTTGTCATGGTCATCGTGTGTGTGTGTGTCCCAGTAGTACGATGGGCGGATATGCCGAGCTAGATGTTAGAGAGTCGCTGGTCCGTTATTTACACGCCTGGTCCTGGCCCCAGGACTTGAGGAGGTAGGTAGGTAGGTAGGTAGGTAGGTAGGTAGGTAGGTAGGTATAGGCAAGTGACTAAGGGCACTGAAGTTAGAAAACAGAACAATGGTCTTCGTGTCGTGATCTTGATATATTCATACGCCCCCTGATCCTCTAGACGCGGACGTATGGATAGCTCAAATGATGTGAGAGCCGTTGAACAGGAGTTTCTGCACATCTTCTCTAGAGATACGTACCTATCAAGACTCCAAGCAACTTCGAAGACAAGAGAAATAGCAGAGGGTGGTGTTTTTATATGTGGCACTGGGTGGTCCATTATACCCCTTTTATCCTTTGATAGAATCTGCGCACTATTAGGTAGGTAGGAAAGTGCATCATAGCCTAGGCACAATGCATCAAGGGGTAGGTAACATGCACTGCATAGGTCTAGCCCTAGGTACCAAGATCTGATTTCCCCATAATAACTACTCCTAGATTCAAATAGTATCTTGACCGAACTACTAAGTCGGTAGGCATTGACGTCGTAGCCATCGAGGCGGGAAATGCTTGACGGTGACATTCTAATCTCGCTTAGGAACCGTCCAGATCTCCTTTGCCTCCGAGCACTGCCTATTCCGGCTGACGTCTCGACTACCTACCTAAGAGATCACCGGCAAGGATTGTCTGGCCCGCTCCAGAGCGTTGGGGCCGGGCTTTCGGTGGTTGCTGTATCGCGGCATCCGGGTAATCAGAACTACGATACCTATCCTTCTTCGCGTCTAGTACCTACCTGTACATACAAGGTAGGTGGATATGTATAAAAGCACTGTCTCATCCCAACTGTCTCTCTGTAACCCAATTATTCGATTTAGCTATCCAAGCAGAAGCATACACCTAGCCCCCTCCCAACCATGAAAGCCTCAACCCCTTTCCTCCTCCTTTTTCTCTCCCTAAACCCACCTCCCTAAAGCTAACTCGCCCAACAGACCCCGCAGCCGGCGGCAACGCCTACGGGGGGTCCTCCGCAACGGCCGGCATCAAAGCCGTCGCGAGCCAAGCAAATCCTCCTTCCCGACGAGAAGCGTCCGGACACGGCGGCGGTGATGGTGGTGGTAGGTAGGTACTCGCAGATCAAGGACGACGCGTTCTGCGGCGGGCCGGCACGAGTGAGACGGCCTTCTGAACGTGGGCGCGAACGTCGAAGCGATTGTCTGTCTTCGTGGGAGACCCGAGGAATGTGCCGGGGCTGTCGGCACTGGGGGTGTGAGTTCTCCCCCCCTTTTCTTTTCTTGTTAGGTAGGTATTTACGCTATATCACCAGTTCGCCGCCCGTCCCGCCGGATACACGTGCCCCGTGTACGCGGACAGGATCAGGTCGTACTGCGATGCCGAGGACCCGTACGTACTGTACGTACTGCTCCAACGGCAACAACGCCCAGCACCACTAGCAGTACCTACGTACAGATAGATCTACGGGCAGCAAGCGCTGGCTTTTGTGAGGCAGAAGCTCGGTTCTCTGGAGGTAATAGGTAGCTGCCGGAGACCTACCGGATCTGTTTGATCAATTCTTTTGGTAGGGTGGGGGTTTCCGCGCTTCGTTCGCGTGATGGGTGATTTGTACATACTGTAGCAAATCCGCACAATATCCAAAATTATATGTATCAGTAATGCAGAATCAGTAATAATTCCCTCACATGGCCAAAAAAAAGGCCTCTCGAATAATCATCATCATCATCAAGTATATCGTGGATATTTCTAATAATATAATCTATCAATGCTTTCAAGTCAACACTGTAGACTTTATAATTACATTTGCCCCCTCGCTCCAAGAACTCTCTTTCCTTTCCTATAAGACAAGTCGGCCTGGCTCGCCTTCCAGCACCGTCTTGACTCTTTGCAGGAACGCCTTCGCTCTTCGCTCCTCGGTCTTGGGTACCGTGAGGCTGAACACATTGGAGCCAGTGGAGATACCTGATTGCGAGCCGGTCCTCTGCGGCCTCGGGGCGGGCTTCTTGGCTGTGTCTGCCAAGAAGTCGATAATGTCGACCTTGGCTTTCGGCTTAGGTGCAACACCAGTGAATGATGAGGGAGGCACGGCCGATATTTGAGGAAGGTAGTAACCCACGGAGCCGCTCGGGCTAGCCTTGTCTAATCCCAAGACTTGGTTGAAAAGCTCGTCAGCTGTGGGCTTGTAGTTGGATGGTAGAGGTAAGTTGTCGTTGGCCACTTCAGTAGCCCTTGCGATGAAAGTGGACAGCGGTACGAATGTATCAAGTGTACTCTCGATCTTCTTCTGCACTTCGATGACTGTTGCCAGCGAGATAGGCAGCGTCACTAGCAAGTCCTGAGGCACTTCTGGCACGGCGGACTTCTCTGCCTTCTTTGGCGCTTCCTTAGGCGCAGCAATCTTGATGTTGGAGAGGTCAAGGTGCGAATTGTGATCGAACCGCGCCTTGATTTCTTCTGGCCTGCTAGAAGACACGGTGCCAAGGTATGCGAGAACATCGCCCTTCAGCAGCCGCCCAGCAGGGCCCGTAGGCGTCATCTCACTAATAGCAGATTCGTCCAGCTTGTGCTCCTTGATTAGGTGCTCTACTGATGGGTACAGAGGGTATTTCTGCGGTGCTGCTTTGCTCCCAGACTTCTTAGGCCCAGCGGCCTTCTTCTCTGGTGTAGCGCCCTTGGATTCCTGCTGCCGTGGTGGCTCTTCTTTCTTGGTTTCCTTCGGCTGCGCGGTTTTTTCATCGGCGGGGAGTTCTAATTTGCTAATATCGTCTCCGGACTCAGCAACCACACCAATTCGGGTGCCAACCTGAATGTTCTTGCTTCCATCGCCGTGCATGATCTTCATGATTATTCCGTCATCCTGAGCCTCAACGTCCATGGTCGCTTTGTCGGTTTCGATCTCGAGTAGAACATCGCCGGCAGAAAATGAATCACCCTCCTTCAGTTTCCAGGTTGCGATATTGCCCTCGGTCATAGTTGGCGATAAGGCTGGCATCGTGAAGTTTTGTGCGGCCAATGAGGCGGCGCATGTGCGAAAACCTGCGCGATGCTTATTAGCTACTGGATATCGAAGAAAAAAGAAAAAAAAAAAAAAAAAAAAAAAGAAGTGAAATAAAAATACCTCGTGTTGCGACATCTTGAGTTACCCGCCGACTTACAAGCCGTGTTGACAGGCGAGTCGCATTTGCGAAGGACGCCATTGTGGGCTTGTGTAGAAGAAAGGTGAAGCTCAATTGAGCCTTTTTTGTCCCTCTCTTCTTTTTGTCGAGGTGATAATATGTACTGTAACTACTAACTACCAATTCGGACAGCTTACGAGGTTGTTGGGGATGCTCCGGTCCCAACCGAAATCATTAAATAAAAATAATTAAATAATTAAATCGGAGCTGGAGATCGGAAATGTAAGGGACGCTATAAAGTTTTACCGTTTCCCAACCTACAAGCTTAGTTAGTTATCTCCGAAATCCCTGAACCTAGCCTAAGACCCCTGTAAGACCTGTGAGTAGCCCCATTTTAAAAAGGCTAGTGTACGTATCTACCTACTAGGTACACTACATGTAGTAACTAGTTAATCTCCACTCTTTTTCTCCAAACATTGAAGCTTCAAACTTTGGAGTTGAGAATTCTCTGATATACAACATACAACATATTCTCACAACATTACGTACTGATTAGGATCTGCTTCTTCCAACCTACGAGACTCAATGGCTACCCTAATGCCAATATGTCGCGGATGCTCGCGCCTATTGTACCGAACCTCACTTCAACAGCCAAAGTTCGTTCGAGCAAGTACATTGAGTCGCATGTTCGCAACAACTAGGGTCAGAGCAGCAGCTCCATTTCAAAAGTCCAAAGCAATCCCAACTACAGCATCTCCCAAATCAATCCCTACTACACCTTTAAAAAGGCCCCCACAAACTCCCCTGTTAAGCTATGCGCAGCAGCTTGCTAACAAGCCCGTCCCGACGACCCTGTACGAGACAGGGCCTCAGGGGGTGTTCCTGTGCTCAAGCTACATTGCTGGTCTCGTCAGTTTCGGTGCCGCAGGCATAAATATATGGTTCAACGTCTATAATGTGCCAGAGGGAATACACTGGGTTGCCCCTGTCGCGTTCGGCATCATGGGGGTCATCATGGCCGCCATTGGCACCAGGTTTGCCCTCATGCCAGCAGGCGCCATACGCTCTATCAAAGTGCTGCCGGCCCGGCCTGGCAAGGCACCTGTTTCAATTGCGAAATCAGCCACGTTAGAGAATATACCTGTTCGCCTCGAAGTTGAGGTGCGGCGCAACTTCCCCATCCCAGGCAGCACAATCCGGCGCTTTCAAGTCAACCCCGACAAGGTGGTCATGAAAGCGCCCATGTACAATCGCCCGCCAGCCACCTCAGAGTACGACAGCGTGCTGCAGAAGCAGCAGGAGGAAGCCCGACGGAAACAGGCACGCCAGTATGATATGGACCACTTGATGACGGCACCGTTTCGGCATGGCTTCCAAGCCTTCTCGATGCTGTTCGCAAACTTCCGCCGTGGCTTGACCGGAGAGGGCTTTGCCCCTGTGACCATCGATGAGACCAACTACAAGCTGGACATCACGTCGGCCTACGCGCTGGAGGACGGGAGAGCTTTGGACAGGATCGTAAGAATTGAAGAGGACCCTGGGTTATCCCGTCTGTTCTATAAGTAGTTCACCAAGTTGTGGAAAATACAAGAAGCTTTGTTCGATTAAATTAGGATTTTTCGGCCTCGCGTGTACCTCATTACTGCCTTTGGGATCTCTCTAGCACTTTGCTCTGCATAATTCTGCTGTGTTTCGATATGTCAAAGTAAGATATATAAAAGAGTCAAGGGATTTACATCGCTAGCAAGCTTTGCCGCTCTATCTTCATCGATCCGGGGAAAGCTGTCTATGTAGATAGGCACTGAGCTTAATATGAACAATCCCGGGAGCTGTCGAGTTAAGCAGACAGAATATAAAACGATGGTGCTGTGGAAGAAAGGCTCCTTTTCACTTAGTTATATGCATATAGTATACTACCTAAGGTAGGCACATGAGGCGAGCAAACACCAGCGCCCAACGCTCTTAACTAAAGCCTACCTACCTAGACGCCAGATTTAAAGACTGGGGATGGCTGCATGAGAATGAAGTTCAGGCCGAACACCCCGTTCGCACGCATAGATAGGTATATTGTATATATCTAGGTATACGAAGACCTTGCTTGCGAGATCCACGCCGATTCCTCCATATCCTACACCCCAGCTTACTCTCGAGACGTTACCTACCCCTTTAACCCAACAACCTCTAAGCCACCCACTAGCCCCATGCACTCCACGAATTCTCCAAACATAGAGAACGGCGAGGCACCCAGAGGACCATATCTAGGCAGGTACCTAGGATTTCATAACCTGCTCGAGAAGGCATATGAGTATTTCGAGCGGAATGAAAAAAGCAGAGGAGGGAGAAACGAAACAGAAGATGCCTAAACAAGTGCCCAAGCTGGTAGTAAAGGAAGATCTCACATCGTCGACAGGTAACTCCTATTTCCTATAGACACGAGTAGTCATAGGTAGGTAGCAGTTACCTAACCTACAGACTTAAAGAGAAGCGAACATTTAAAAACTGCGACACGTAGAATAGTACGTGAGCGCAGGTATGTACCTAGGCAGGTAGATAGTGTACCGTGCTCGCCGACTTATGCCCCAAGCCCCCCTATCCTCGAAGCCCACCGGGCGTGCTGGGTAGACGATGCTCTACGCGTGCATAGGTGCACATTCGACAGCAGAATCCTCACCTCACTCTCTACCTCTAAGGTTGGCAGTCTTAATCTAGGTACGATAGACTGAAAACACACTAGGTAGGTTCCCCCTGGATGCCTAGATAAAACGTCACTGGTTTTCGGTATCCGGTTCTCCGCCATTAATAAACACCTAGGTTAGGTAGGTAGGTTCCCAAAGCCGGGAAAGGGTAGGTTTTTACTTGCTTACACCTCATACGATGCCGCTCCCCTAGCCGGCCTCTTCTCGTGAAAGATGAGTGGCGATTGAGAGCTTAAAGGGGGGAGGGTAAACGGGATAGGCATCCGTCGGCCAGCCTACTACCTACTTACCTACATGCCTACCTACCTAGGTACTCTTTGAACCACATAACAACTTTCTACAGGCACTGACCTTCACACATATCTTGCCCTGGGTAACCCAGTAGGTAGGTTAAAACCCCCAAAAGCCAAACCCAACAACGTCATTCCCAAGTGGTCACTCGTTTCACAATCCTCGCTGCTTATTGCCAGGCCTTGTTAACAACAGCCAATACCTATACCTATACTCACATACCTACATACCTACCTATGAACCGTACGCCTCCACGTCTTACTTATACGATAAGCCCAGACACACACACACACACACACACACGCACAGCCCCCATAATCCTCCAGAGGGAGGGGGGGGGAGGGCACTCACCTACTAGATACACGGAGATGATGAAGAACGGCAACAGCATCCGAAAACACCTTCCCCACACATCTACCTACTTCAAGAAAAGGATCTATTATCTATATATCTACCTACCTATTTATATTCCATAGGCGGAGATTGATTTTCTCCGCCGGAGCCCGCTCCAGCAGATCAGCGCTACCTAGGTAGGTAGGTATCTGGCCGGCGGTAGGTATGTACATACCTGCTTACATACCTACATAGCAGCCAACCTATCTATCTATCTAATCTAACCTAACCTAATGCATACTTGGGTACCTAGTTATATATTTAAAGACAGCCAAATAAATGGGGATGGGAAGGAAGGAAGGCCGACAGACGAGCAAACTGGACTGGACTGGCTAGCCGTCTCCTTCCTCGCGGCGGCAAAGCGGCTTAGGAATTATGTAGGGGTTTTTTTTTCCAGATCCCCATCGATGGATCGCATAAACTTCCTGGTAACTATACCTAGGTATTATCATAAGCAAAAAAAAAAAAAAAAAAAAAAAAAAAAAAAAAAAAAAAAGTATCCAAAAACCAGGCGGCACTCATGTCCGGAGCGCAGCTAGCTACCTATATCCAAAACCTTTGTAGACGTGTCCCGCACCTTGGCGGCATGTTAGGAGGCGATCTGTATCGGTTATGTCGGACCCCCCCCCTGCTTTGGTTGTATGTATCGGGGAATACCTAGTTACTGCACACTATTCTATTCGCCCTATATGAATGCCCAGCCCTAGGTTCGCATCCGATCGCGATTCCGCTGGCACGGAGAGATAGAGAGAGAGAGAGAGAGAGACAGAAGCCCGAGGATTGCTCTTGGACGGCAAACCGTATCGAGTCGTTGTTGTCCGAGCAGTAAGTAAGTACCTTTAGCTACCTACACTACACTACCCATACATAAAGTCCCCCAAGGCAAGAAGAAGTGGCAATTGTGCTTACCTATACTATGTATACTCTTGTCAGACATGTGCCATTGATTGCCCGCCTCTCCGGACAACCAGCGCGGCAACGCGGCACCTCTGCCCAGACTATAGCGCGTAGCACAAATGGGGAAGAGAAAGGGGGAGGAGAAAAAAGAATTAAAAAAAATATTCTTGTTACGCCAGCTCGGTCGTGGCGTTCGGCATCGCCTACCTACAACATGTCGACATGTCATAAATAAAAACGGGATTGGAATTCGAACGGGACGGTGGCACAAAGTGCTTGCATAGGGTAGATACAATGTGCTTTCTTTGAGAAGGAAAATTTCGAAGACTCTATGTAGATGTCCTTCCCCCCCCAACAATAACTACATGTGCATACATACGCCCAGCTTGAAGCAAACAACCTACCTAGGTTAGGTAGGTAGGCAGTTACCCGATATCTCGGACAGAGATACGGCTGTCAAAGCTGTCAGACCCTTGGAAAGCACGTGTGGTTGTGGATTCGAAGGCAAGAAAGAAATTGTGGCGAAGGTTCAACGGGCCTGGCTGTATCGCGTACGTACATTGTCTGTTATGTGGGTATGTACTACTATATCTGAGGTAGTACGTCTGGTATGTGGTGCTGACATCGCCTGAGTATTATCTATAGTCAGGCGCCTGTGCTCACCAAACGACAAACTACTGCTTACCTATGTAGAGCCTCAACAAGGATAATTGGAGCATCCTTGTATCGCGTAACTACCTATATAAGCGTCTTGTTTGATAAGGCTACCGCGAGCGACTGGTTTCCATACATTTTGGTTTCACCGACGTACCTAGTCGTATAAAAGATGAGGCACGTATGTAACGACATCGTACCAGCTTACGTATGTATGTATGTATGTATGTATGTATGTGGTGGGTTAAAGATTGCGAGATACCGATGTATCCAGATAAAAAACGATCCAGATCACACGTTGCTGTAGCTGGCCCTACCGTTATCACCACGGTCCTTCGATATGGAACGGGAACATACAGAAGACAGGCGGCTAGTTTCAGAAGTCTCGGGGCGTCGTTGCACAAGGTCCCGACTCGGTGGCTTGCCGAGAGCGGCACGCTACGAATGGTCTAACGGTCTGTAAGGGGCTACGAAGCGCCACGATTCGATGTATAGCGACCGATTTGTATCGGACCATGATTCTCAGCATGACCTCTCCTAAGGGAACGATAAGGATCGAGCGACACTCATGCCAAGAAATAATAGGGCATACCGAACTCATCGTACAAAACTTATGGCCGTATGATCTACTTGGGGTAGTGAAGACCTTCCCATTCAATCTTAGTAAGGTTAGTTCATTAGATAGATTCCGTGGTGTTGCAAGAATCTACCCATGATAATACCCAAGATAGTAGAATATCTACAAGAGCGCGATCGAGTTGATCAAGATCGATAGCGATAGGATATATATATATTTTGCCCAGCACCCTTGGCGCTCAAAAGGGGTTGTTGGGCTCAGCAGAATTTTATCATGTCGTGTAGCAGGTGTAGCAGGTGTGGCAGGTGTAGCAGTAAGTCACCTAAGGAGGAGTCAGCCACGAAGCAGTCAGATATTCAAGTTGTGTTTCGTAACACGACATTCTTCTCCCGGTGTCGTCATTGAATCCTTGATCCTTGAATTTGGTGTCCTAGTCTAGATAGTCGAGGCTGTCAGATTCCCGTGACCATTGTCAGCCGCGCATGTAGTGCTTGTCGCTGAGTGGCTAGATGGTTCCCCACGCGATCGAATTCAAGATCCAATTCGAAATCCTTGTCGCCCCTCACTTTGTAGACTACCCTAGGTTAGGTACTAACCTAGAAGGCTGGTAGGCTGGTAGGCTGGTGCTAAGTACCTAAGGTAACTTTCGCGGCTTTTCCTCATTAGCCGATATGTACGAAGGGATTGGATCGACTATCGCTCGGACAGGGATTTGGGTTAGGTGATTTTTTTGATGCCACTCTTCTCTGCACTACGACAATGCCATACATCCATCCACCAGACTGATACACAACAGCATAGGCAATCAAACAAGATTTTATACGTCTTCACCGCAAATCGAAGTTGTATAATCTGCAATGGCGCGGTGACATAAACGGAGGATTAATTATGCTGGTATGGCTGTCTTTCCTGAAGTTTCTTGTTAAGGCGATCATATGGTTATTGCCAGTTAGTTAGCCCCTAGCCCCTACCGGCACCTACCTAAGGTAGGGATGGGACTCATGGGAGTAGTAGTGTTAGTAGCTATAAACGCGAGCGAATGAATTGGGGGGCTAACAAGAACAAGACATATACATATATGTATGTAAGAAGAAGAACAGAAGGATGATAACAAGGATGGTTTGCTGCAAATGCAAGCCAAAGCTGCGGAAGAATTTTTCCTCAAGGTCGACGAACATCGAGGCGGTGAGTATCGAATGGGGGTGTATGGCGTTGGCTAGAAGAACAAGATGCGACATTGTTTGGAACGTCGAAGCGCCAGCGACCAGGCTGGTCTGCGAGGCAAAGCCAGGCAGGTCATCCGTTTGGCCGTCAAGGTTTCAATATACCCATGGATCAATGTGTATTGTATTGTAATTTGTACATATACTGTAAGTACCCAGGATACCTAGGACACCTAGGGTAGGTAATAGGTAAATCTGTCTCGGGAAGTCGGGGTACTATACTCAATATCTCATTGATGTAGCGGCATTGTAGCCCT